CGTCGAGTCCCTCCCTAAAACTCAAGATAAATACTTAAAATAAGATACCTGGGAATCCGGATGTTACATTTTGGTCCATGAAACAGTATTATGTTTTCAAGAGCATTGATATGTTTTGTTGTTTAGTTTTATTTAGTTTTGCTTTAAATTTGTAAGTTGTTTTAGTCATGAATTGTAAGACATGAATTGAAGTCGATGTTTTAATTAAATGAATGTTTTTCTTTTAAATTGAGAGGTTTAATAGGGGAATAGAATGAAATTTATATTTATATTACTATTTAATTTTTAAATTATAATATATATTATACGTACAATATGATTATTATTTTATTAATTGTTTATATATATATATATAACGATAAGAGACTAATTCGTGAATAGTTAGTTGATGAACTCCAAAAATCTAACATGTATTTCTGAACAGAAAAAATCAACAGGAAACTATATGAATATATGTTTTTAGTTGTTGAATTGAAAAGTCATCAAAAAAATCGGATCTGAATTATTATATATATTAAGCGAAAAATGTACATAATATTATATCAAATAATAATGGAAAGTTTATATGAAGATAATATGAACAAGAAAACAAAAAGGTTTTGTAAGATCTGTTCCAGATTGTCTTATCATGATTCAAGGAATTGTCCCTATGGAAAAGGTATTAGTTGTGGAAATTCAAAGAAAAAGAGGTTATGTAAGTTTTGCAAAAGTTATGGTATTCATGATCAAAGGAATTGTCCTTATCATAAATGATTAATATTTTTGAAATTGTGTATGATTCAGTTTTTTTTATTGTAATAAAATTTTTGATCGTTGTAAAAGATTATGCATCCTATGTAATAAATGAAGGTTCACTCTTTAATTTTTGATTATATGAACATTTAATTTTATCTTCTTATCTTTTACATGATTTTTTTGAATATTGTTGTAAAGAATACAGGTGAAATTTTGTCATGATGCAGGTTCAAAATGACAAATTTGTAATTCTTTTCATGTATTCTATTAAATTTATAGCAAATTGAGTAAATTACGCTTCTGCCCTTTTTCAAAATTATTTTACTTTTTGTTTCCATTTTGACATAAAGGCAAATTGGTCCATTTTGACCCTGATGCAGGTGAATTGTTTTCATTCTTTACAAAAAAAGGTGCATTACACTTGGTATTAGAAAAAAATGGAAAAAAAACAACTTTGTATAGAAAATATAATGTAGGGGATATATGGACAAAAATTTATGTTATAATAGTTTTACAACATAATAGTATGATGTAGGTTCAAAATGACGAATTTTTAATTTTTTTCATGTATTGTATTAAATTTATAGCAAATTGAGTAAATTACGGTTCTGCCCTTTTTCAAAATTATTTTACTTTTTGTTTCCATTTTGACATAAAGGGCAATTTAGTCCATTTTGACCCAGATGCAGAAGAATTGTTTTCATTTAGTCCATTTTGACCCAGATGCAGAAGAATTGTTTTCATTCTTTACAAAAAAGGTGCATTTCACTTGGTATTAGAAAAAAATTGAAAATAAAAACAACTATGAATAGAAAATATAATGTAGGGGATATATGGACAAAAATTTATGTTATAAGAGTTTTTCAACATAATAGTATGATGCAGAGTCAAAATGACGAATTTGTAATTTTTTTCATGTATTCTATTAAATTAATAGCAAATTGAGTAAATTACGGTTCTGCCCTTTTTAAAATTTATTTTACTTTTTGTTTCCATTTTGACATAAAGGACAATTTGGTCCATTTTGACCCTGATGCAGGTGAATTGTTTTCATTCTTTACAAAAAAGGGTGCATTACACTTGGTATTAGAAAAAAATGGAAAAAAAAACAACTTTGTATAGAAAGTATAATGTAGGGGATATATGGACAAAAATTTATGTTATAATAGTTTTACAACATAATAGTATGATGCAAGTTCAAAATGACGAAATTTAATTTTTTTCATGTATTCTATTAAATTTATAGCAAATTGAGTAAATTACGGTTCTGCCCTTTTTCGAAATTATTTTACTTTTTGTTTCCATTTTGACATAAAGGGCAATTTGGTTCATTTTGACCCTGATGCAGGAGAATTGTTTTCATTCTTTACAAAAAAGGTGCATTCCACTTGGTATTAGAAAAAAATTGTAAAAAAAAAACAACTTTGTATAGAAAATATAATGTAGGGGATATATGGATAAAAATTTATGTTATAATAGTTTTACAACATAATAGTATGATGCAGAGTCAAAATGACGAATTTGTAATTTTTTTCATGTATTTTATTAAATTTATAGCAAATTGAGTAAATTACTGTTCTGCCCTTTTTCAAAATTATTTTACTTTTTTTTCCATTTTGACATAAAGGGCAATTTGGTCCATTTTGACCCAGATGCAAGAGAATTGTTTTCATTCTTTACAAAAAAGGTGCATTCCACTTGGTATTAGAAAAAATTGAAAATAAAAACAACTTTAAATAGAAAATATAATGTAGGGGATATATGTACAAAAATTTATGTTATAAGAGTTTTACAACATAATAGTATGATGCAGAGTCAAAATGACGAATTTGTAATTTTTTTCATGTATTCTATTAAATTTTTAGCAAATTGAGTAAATTATGGTTCTGCCATTTTTAAAAATTATTTTACTTTTTGTTTCCATTTTGACATAAAGGGCAATTTGGTCCATTTTGACCCTGATGCAGGTGAATTGTTTTCATTCTTTACAAAAAAGGGTGCATTACACTTGGTATTAGAAAAAAATGGAAAAAAAACAACTTTGTATAGAAAGTATAATGTAGGGGATATATGGACAAAAATTTATGTTATAAGAGTTTTACAACATAATAGTATGATGCAGAGTCAAAATGACGAATTTGTAATTTTTTTCATGTATTCTATTAAATTTATAGCAAATTGAGTAAATTACGGTTCTGCCCCTTTTCAAAATTATTTTACTTTTGGTTTCCATTTTGACATAAAGGGCAATTTGGTCCATTTTGACCTTGATGCAGGAGAATTGTTTTCATTCTTTACAAAAAAGGTGCATTACACTTGGTATTAGAAAAAAATGGAAAAAAAACAACTTTGTATAAAAATATAATGTAGGGGATATATGGACAAAAATTTATGTTATAAGAGTTTTACAACATAATAGTATGATCCAGAGTCAAAATTGACCAAATTGCCCTTGATGTCATGTTTTCTATTAAATTTATATCAAATCGTCAATGTCGCCCTTTTAGAAAAGTAAAATGGATCAACATAAAAAATATGATTAGATGCAAGTTAACCAACTTTGAAGTTAGAAAGAAATAAAAATTAAACAACTTTGAATAACATTTCTTTTTTGGCATTTTGACATAAAGGACAATTTTGTCCATTTTAACATAAAGGGCAATTTGGTCCATTTTGACCCTGATGCATTGAAATTGTTTTCATTCAAAACTTATTCCAATGATTGAAATGGTGTATTACACTTGGTTAAAATACAATTAATCAAACAATTAATATATCAATCAAAATTGATGATTTCTTCCTGGTTGAAAAGTACATTGTCTATTTTGCATAAACGTCAATTTTGTCCATTTTGACATAAAGGACAATTTTGTCCATTTTGACCCTGATGCGGGTGAATTGTTTTCTTTCTTTACAAAAAAGGTGCATTACACTTGGTATTAAAAAAATGGAAAAAAATCAACTATGTCAAAATGGACCAAATTGCCCTTTATGTCATGTTTTCTATTAAACTTATATCAAATCGACAATGACGCCCTTTTAGAAAAGTAAAATGGATCAACATAAAAAATATGATTAGATGCAAGTCACACAACTTTGAAGTTAGAAAGAAATAAAAATTAAACATCTTTGAATAACATTTCTTTTTTGGCATTTTGACATAAAGGGCAATTTGGTCAATTTTAACATAAATGGCAATTTGGTCCATTTTGACCCTGATGCATAGAAATTGTTTTCATTCAAAACTTATTCTATCGATTGAAATGGTGTATTATACTTGGTTAAAATTCAATTAATCAAACACTTAATATATCAATCAAAATTGATGATTTCTTCCTGGTTGAAAAGTACATTGTCTATTTTGCATAAACGTCAATTTTATCCATTTTTACATAAAGGACAATTTTGTCCATTTTGACCCTAATGCAGGTAATTTGTTTTCATTCTTTACAAAAAAGGTGCATTACATTTGGTTAAATTTCAATTATTCAAACACTTAATATATAAACAAAATAATACTTAATTTTCTCTAAAGATATATTAAATAAACATATGACACATGGCTTGTTTATAAACATCTTCGAAAGTAGGAAACATAAACAAATTACATAAAGTTCTACCATTCTCAAAACATAACACATCAATTTTCTGCATAAAACTATCATCTAGATTCAAAAACCCTAAAACCAACATTTTCCCCTTTTTGCTTCATCGACCTTCTTGTTTCCTCTAGTTCTTGAAAAGCTTCACTTGGTGCTTTGTGTACTCTAAAGCTTCATGGATTTTGTGCACATCGATCCATATCTTGAAGTTGTCAAACATGTTGATTCTAGCTTCCCAAACATTCACATTTGGATTTGAAACAACCAACTTGTATAGTAGAGTACACATACAACTGTTGCTTGCCATGTTCAAAGTATGTGGGAAATAGATAGAAACAGTTTTAACAAAATGTTCAACATAAATCTCTTGAACACAAAACAACCCATCATTTTTCACCTTTTCAACAAAATCAGAAATATCAAGAACATATTGAAGTTTGTTTAACCCAACATCTAAAGGAGCATAAGTAACCAACGAGTAGCAGAATGTGTTGTGGAATTCATAACCTAAAGTGGAGATTATTTTCTGAAAAGTCTGAATAGAGTAATTATTTATGTTGCAAAAATCAACATACTCAATAATTCCTCCATCGTAAGATCTATTTGGATTGTAGAAAAAATGTCCTCCATGATAAATTTTCATTGAGAAGTAACATGTGTTTTCAGTTCCTGATTGAATAAAAATAAAAATTAGATAAACATAAATATCATATGATATAAAGAAAAAGAATCATACCATAGAGCTCATCTGGAAGGATATACTGTGATGAATCACGTACAATCCAGTTAACACCATCAAAAGCCATCGAATGCAAATCTTATTAGTCTTAAGTTTTTTGATAACGGAAGAAGATGTGGAGGTGTTGCATATATAAGAAGTAATTGTAGTCAAAAGAAATAATTGTAGTTTTTAAATATTGTTTTGGGTTGTCAATCACATTTATTGTTTCTGATAATGGCGGTTATAGAGTCTTAGATAATCCTTATCATTTATATTAGATAATCATTAAAATCGTTCAAATGGTAAAGAGTATATTAATTAAAATGACTCTTTTCATATTATGACTAATAATGGCGGTTATATTTTGCATCATATTATCTATATATTCGATGCAATTTCTAATGTTGGAAGTATAATTAGTAATAAATATATTTTGGTATCCTTCAATTGGTAGATATATTATTATTCTAAAAAAGGGCAATTTTGTCCATTTTCCACCTGCACCACTCTTTTATATTGTGTATAAATCCCTTTAAAAGCAAAATAAGCAATTTAGTATTATAAAAAGACCAAATATTCAATTTAATATAAAATTAATAAAATATATGAAAAAAAGAAAATTTGCCCTTTTTTTTAATCATACATTTATGATATACGAAGATTTGGTTTTTTTAATTTTTTTTCAATTTATTTTTATTCATTTTTGTTTATTTTGTCTTTTTTTTGTCCTTTTGATATCTAATTAATAGAATACATGTAAAAAGTGTATTTTCGTCTGCATCACTTTTTTATCTTGTGTGTAAATCTCTTTAAAATCAAAATAAGCGATTTACTTTTATAAAATGGCCAATTCGTCAATTTAATATAAATTTAATAAAATACGTGAAAAAAGGACATTTGTACTTTTTTTAAACATACTTTTACGTTATGCGAAGATGTGGTTTTTTAAAATTTTTTAAAATTCTTTTTTATTCATTTTTGTTTATTTTGTCTTTTTTTTGTCCGTTTGATAGTAAATGAATACAATACTTGTATTAAGGGCATTTTGGTCCATTTTGCAACTGCATTGTACTTTGATGTTGGAAAACTCTTACAACATCATTTTTTTTTTAATTTTTTAATACATAGTTGATTTTTTTTTCTATTTTTTACATTTTTTTCAATTTTGTTTGCTTTTTTTATTTTTGCAAGATATATACATTTTCATAAATTATTTAATTATAGTCGATTTTTCAAAACCTCCATTGATTTTCTTTAATTTATGTATATATCCCTTTAAATGAAATTAAAATTCAATATAATTTTGTAAAAGAGTGGAATCGTACTTTTATAAATTTGTTATAAATTTAATAAAATAGATGAATAAATTTTCAATTTGGTTATTTAGCCCCTGCATGGGCAAAGTTGAATTATTTTTATTATTTTATATTTCCATCGACTAAAAGGATAATGAACTTTTTTTACAACATAAAGTTATAAAAATTTCAAGTTTGTACATTTTGCCCCTGCATTAAATTATTAAAAATCAAAGTTTTTTGTTTGTTCATATTTCTTTTATAATTTTATTCTTTCATACAATTTATGTGTTTATAATATATCTGTTCAAAACTGCTGATGTATATTGTATTAAATGAAGTACCACAATTTCATCTATCTATCTGTTATACATCACAACACACATGTTAAACCTTTTATTTTCTTATACAAAGCTTTTTTTTTTTTTTTTTTTCAGAAATTGGTTCTGATAAGATAACCTTTTGTATTTTTATTGAAGGGCGTAATTGTCCTTTTGTAACAGAAACATCATTTTGATAACATAATAATCCAACATTGTAACACATTCAAATATATGAAACTAAAAATGTATGATTAAACAAATATCTACAAAGATTTAGCATAAGTTTACATAAGAAATTCATAAGATAAAGTTTTCTACTGATGTTTTTTCAAAGGCATAAGCAATTTGGATGGGTTGATGGGGCAGTTTCTTCTATCATGATTGACAAATTCATTACATCCAGTGCATTTACGTTTAACTTTAAGAGATTTTGCAATTGCTTTTTCTGCAGAGCTTCACATTCTATTTCTCTTACCGGAACCTTTAGTTCTTATCCCGCTAGGTGCCTCAATGTCAATTTCATTTGGAATGTGGAGACCAACAACATTTTCAACAATTTCTTTTATTGGATTTGTATTTGGTTTAGTCACAACATTCTTTTCACACTCAATGCTTAATGTCTTCAAACTTTGTACCAGTTCTTGTAATTTCCCAAGATCATGAGCAATCGAATCGACACATTTCTCATAATATGATGATACCTCATGCAAAAGATTTGAAGTTTCAATGTTGCCCATTCCCCATCTATGCAATAGCTTTTGATAAGAAACATCCACAATGTTTTTTTCTCCATCGATGAAGAATGTATTTTTCTGGTATTTTGAAAATGTCATTGTCTAAGAGAACTCTAAAACAATGACAACAAAGAATTCCATAAAACTGGAAATGCTTACATGAACAATGTATAGACATATCTCCTTCATTAAAAACAACCAGCAATATTATTATTTTTTTTATCAAATTACATTTATAATAAAATTTTACAAAATAGAAATAGAAAATAAATATAATGTTAAATAATTTTAAACCTTGAAATGGGGTCTTTCTCCAGTTTTGTGGTTCTTGTAAACTATTGTGCATTATTGACTTTCATTCATGTAACGTCCGTGTTTCTAGGCTAGGCATTAATATTGACATAATGGTCAAGGTTAACCTTTGTAACTCATTTAGAAAAATGAAAAGGAATTATGTGAATTTTATGTGAATTATGTGTTTTATGCTTAATTATTAGGGTTTAATTA